GAGATAACCACCTAAATATCTATTTTTTATTTTTATTACATCTCCACTTAAAAGAGATTTTTATTTTAATGATTATTATTTTAAATCTTATTCAGTTTTATAATCAATATAACTTGCAATTTTAATTGGATATCCAACTTATGAACAATTAACTTCTAATCCATCCTTTTTATCATATTTTTATGTTGGCTTCTATATATTAAGAAACCATTTATTTGAACTTGAATTTTGAATTATTATTTAATCTCCATATAAAATAGGTTCTCCAGGATTTTTAACTTGATTCATTGATAAAATTCGAAAATTTGAATTTATATTTGGAATTTCTTCTAAAGATAATTCTCTACAACAATTTTCTTTTGCTAATATAGCACAATTAAATGATAGAATGCATTAAGAATATATATGTTTAAGTTATATTTCTTAACCATAGACTATATTAGATCCATAAGCAAGATCATAAAAACGTATGTTTTCAACAATTTCTTCATTAGCCTTATCTTCGAGTTCTTTCAATCTGCTTTCATAATCTAATTAACATTAATCTAAATCAATAGATTCATTTATTGCCTCTTCTCTAATATCATCTATCGATCTTGATCTTTCTTATACTAGAAAGTTTTAATATTGATATTTTTTGCCTGTTACTACCTAAAATAAGCTTTTTTAAAATGTCAAACTGCCAACCTTTTACTGTAAGCTTTTTTTAGATGGATCGGTCAATTGTTGATTTTTTCCCAAAATTTATATACACTCCAACTTATTACTAGCAATTCCATCCCCAGATATAACTCCTTTAAAGTCATCTGTCAAATAAGATTTAAAATACACAATGTCCCCCACTTTTAAATTGAAGTTTCGCCTTTTATAATTATATTAAATACTTAGGTTGTTTTGCTGTTTCTTGATTTTGATTTAATGGATTGAAAATATGTTATTATGATAATAAATTATCAACTCCTAATTATGATTAATTTTTTTAAATTGGAATAGGAGGAAGGTCCATTTGTTGTAGTAAATTATATATAATATTAATAATAAATTTTAGAGTATGATTGCAAGAGATTGATTTAATAATATCAAATTAACTAGTTATTTACTATATTTTTATATTATCATTCCTAATTAGCATTAATTTTCTTTCAAATTAACAAACTAAAAATAACTGATTATTATAATACCATTTTTATTAGATAACAAAAATGTAAATTTATAAATAATTTAACTATTTTAAGTTTATAGCAAAATTAAAATATTTCATCAAATCTTCTCTAAGAATCTTATTTTTTCTTAAACACTCTTTAAAAATAAGTCATCTGCCTCTTCTTTTAATTTTTCATCATTTAAATAATATGCTTGATGTTCTTTTCTTTATGCCTCCTTTTCATAACGTTTACCTCTCTCCATTATTGATCGATAATCATGTTGCAATTTTGGTACACTACTACTTGTTTATTGTCCCAACTTTGCTTATTAATTAATTCTTTCTTATTCTAATTCTTTTAAATAATTTATTGGTTTCTTTTTTTATTATTCTTCTTAATGAATTTCAATCTTCATTGATTTAGGTTAATAATAAACTGAAGAACTAGGTACTAAGCCTTTCTACAATGATTCTGTCACTTTTGTTCTGTTTACCTTTTATAAATTTAAAACGTTTTATATTTTATGTACATTCCTCTCTATTATAATAATTTATTATACCTGATTCTTATTATGATTATCTATAGAATTTATTACGAATTGAGTCTACTTTTGTTGCACTATATTTAGCATCACCTTCTTTTAAAAAGCTATATATATGTTTTATATTAAATACTCAACATATTCATCTTATAGTGAATTATCAGATTTATTTTGTAATGCTCTACTAAACTAAACATCTGTTTATACTTTGATATTTGGTTTATGATACTCTTTCACTATTTCTGCATATTTTTATTTTCTCATTAATTTTTCAGATTTTTGTTATTTTTCAACAATATCTTTGTTTTTAAATTTCTAATCTGAATCCATAACTTTTTATAATATTTATTTAGCTTTATAAATTTACTTAGTTCCTTATTAAATAAAAATTTCTTCTTCTAATTTTTTCTAATCCTTTTCTAATTTTAATAATTGCTTTTTATTTAAGTAATCCTCTTCATGTTTATTTATTTCTTCCAATCTAATAGGAATTGCTAATTTCTTCCTTTGTTATAATTTTAACTTTAATAATCTATTAAAAAATTACCTTTGCATCTTCATAATATTATTTTTTTAAAATTTCATCTTTCTCTTCTAATTACTTTCTTTTCTCTTTATATTTAATTTTTAATTCATTAAGATGATGTTTTTATTCTTAATTTCTTAATTAATTTATTTCTTGTTGTTTCTACATTTCTTATAATCTTTCTTTAATCTTCATTCGCTTCTCTTAATTAAGAAACTCTTTTTATTATTCTACTTCCAACTTATATTTCTCAATACTTTCTTCCAATTAATTAGATTCATTATGTAATTATTTACTCTTTCTATCTTCAATTTCTTTTCTTTATCTCTTTAATTCAACAACTAACTATTTAGCTTTTGCAGATTAAATTGGATCATTCAAATTTTAAATGGCTTTCTTTTTCCTTTCTAAATATTTTCTTGCCTCTGGACTTAGTGATTTAGGTTAAGTTTCATTTTTTTTATGTTAAAAATTTTAAATAGAAGGCTATTCTAAATGATCCAATAATCCTAATACAGTATCATTGTTATTTTTTAATGGATCCTCTTCTTAATAAATTCTACTTGCATCTTAACTATAAATTTCACGATTTCCTTTTTCTGTTTATTTAATTTTTTCAGTAAAATTTAATGATTTTTATTTTGAAACCTCAACTATTTTAAGGGTAGCAATTGCAAAAAATGACAATAATTATTATACTTTTTTTTATTTTTTTTTTTATCTTTGTAATATATGAAATGAAGAACTTTTACTAAAAATCCTTTTAAATCCCATCATGTCTTCTTCAGTTTTTTTATATATTATATCCAAAGCACTTTGGAAGAATGTTTATAATCTTTTAATTCTTTCTCCCTTCTTTACTTTTAATGTTAAATGATCAGTTGATGGATTGTATATAATTTTATCTACAGATCCGAATTCATTTAGTAATTAATCAAATAAATATAACTCTAATTGATATTTGTGCCAATCCTTATCAGAATTCTATAACTATATGATTTAGACAAATTCTTTGATCATGGAAGTCTTAGATATTTAATACTAACCTTATGATTTATCTGGTAAAATGACTTTAAAAGTTAGCATATATTCAATAATTTTTTTTTTATTATTAAAATATAATTAAATAAGATTTCATTTTCTAAATTGTAATAATTCTCTGAAATGAAGATCTTAAATATTAATATAATTATATTGGTTCCTAATATATTGATAATGATATTAAATTCACTGTAAAAGGTATTTTGCAGTATCTGTAAAATTCTATTTATACTTATATCTTGAAAAATCAAAACAATCACTCCTTATTTTAGTATTATCATCAGGTATAATCTCAGGTAATCTTTATATCTATTTAATATAATTTACTTATGTTCATCCTTATCTCTAGCTGCTTCTAATCTAACTGCTTCAATCATAAATTCTTTTGCTTCAGCTTTCTTTCCTGCATTTAATCTTCTATTAAATTCTTTATATTTCTCATCAATTTTCTTTTATAGCATTTCTTCAGGAGCTCTTTAAAAATCTACATGATTTAATTAAAAACAAAATGAGTCCCAAGGCAATGGATCTTCTGACATAATCTCTTTAAATTTTTCAAAAGTAACAGCAGGTACTTTACCAATATTAGCTATATCATTCATTAAATCTCCATATAATCCTTACAATTTATCCTATTAAATTGATCCTTTCTTTTCTAATTTAAATTTTGTATTTATTACCTTTATCATATGATTTAAAAATCTTTTTAAGCTTCCCTTTTTCCCATTCATTAACTAAACTCATTGGATTGTCATGAAGTCGTTACCTTAATTATTCTTTTAATTCATTTGTTGGAAATTTATTAGGATCAAAGGTTTTTTCCTTTTACTTGATTCTAGTTCTTTCTCTTTCAATCTCATCAGCTTTTTCTTATTCTCTCTTTGCTTTAATTTCATCCACTTCCTTATAAAGTATTTTCTCCCCAACAGAAAAGATTTAAGATGGAAGCAATTTTTGTTTTTTCTATCCTTTTTTCTTAATTTTAACTTCTGCTTTGAAATCTTTGTACCAAGCTTCAACCTTAATCTTTTCTTAGACAGTTATTATTGATCTATCTAATAATTGTAATTAAGGAAGAGCTGAAATCACTCTATTTCTATAATACGGTTCCTCTGCAACTGGATTATTAAATAAATCTAAGACAATAATAAGAAAAATTTAAAACCTAAAGTTGTAAGTCCAGGAAATTCCTTTAAAATCAAAAGATTTTTTTCTAAATCTCTTAACTCATTATTGAATAAACTCAATGTTTCTAAATGCTTCAGATTTTATAAACCCTCAAGAGTACTAATTTTATTCTTTTGTAAATATAGATGTTTTATTCTGAAGTTTTATTCAATACCTTTAATACTAGTTAACTAAAATCAAATAAGGGTTATTTTGTACTTAATTTTCATTAAGCCAAACAACTTCCAGATTCATGAATTTATCAAATTGTGCCAATTCATTAAATCCTTGGTTAGACATATGAACTTCTGTTGTATCTCTTGCTTGTTTATCATTTTTAATAGGAATGCATTGCCAAGGAGTTCCAACTTTAACAATGGGTTAGGGAGTTGCCCTTTTTATTAAATGATTAAAAACTTAATCCATAATTTATTAATATGATAAATAGGTGTAAGTATTTATTTATTTGTTATGCAATCACATCTGAAATTGTAAAACGAACTATTAATTGTAGTATAGCAATACTGTTAAAAAAAATATAGTTATAAAGTTTCATTTTTTAAATCGATCCATATTTAATATGATTCAAATAATAATTTAGAATAAAGATGAAGGTACAATAAAAGATTTTTAGATATTGAGTTATCTAAATATCATAGATTATCTAATGGTAAATTTTATTCAAAAATATAACAGTAATATATTTAAATTATAGTAATAAAAGATAAGGAAATTAAAAATAGGATTAGACAAATCAATAACTATCAATTTAATAAAAAACAGAAAAGACTATACACTGAAATATGATATATATAAAAATACAGATGATTTGTTGTTTTAAGTAGGAGAAACTATTGGTGACTTTGAATCCACTTGTTATTATAAAGTGGATAGATAAATGAATAGAGAAATGATATGAATTTAAATATTTTAGATTAAGCCTACTTATATTTTAACATTGAATAATAGCAAAACCAGAATAAAAGATATTAGGACTGATCTAATAATATTTTTATATCTGTTATTGAATTGAATTCCATAAAGAGACAAAATGACCATTGGAAATATTTCTAAGGATTCAATATTCTATGCTTCTCAAAGCATTTATTTTGTTTCAGAAGTATTGCAAAAATAAAAACTTGCTTAACATATTTTAGATAAGTCCAAGCTCAACATTTAATAAGTTCCTAATAATTGATACTACACAACAGTTTTGACTGGAGTTAAAAGAATTAGAGTATATAAAGCCTGTCATAATATGAACTATGGCAAAATACAATGAAAAATTTTTAATAAATCTAATCTACATAGAATGCAAATATAGCTTTTACAAAAAAATTGAAAGAAGCAAATTAAATAAATTTCCAATTAAAATATATCCATCATATTGAATTTGAAAATCGACCAAACGTGTAAGAATAAATTAAAAAGAATACAATCATCCTTTGCCTTGTGGATTTGGATTTAATAGATTCAATCTGAAAGTTAAGTGCTATTAAAATGAGCAAGAAAAAAAGGGATCATTTTTAAGAACCTCTTATGGTTTCCTAGCAGCTATTATTCAATATGCTCAGAATATATGAGGAGTTCAAGATGAAACATCAAGGAATTAAAAGAATTTTTATTAAGAATACAACTCTAAAGTTGTAGATATAAAAATCTGAAAAAAATAAGAAGACAAATTAAAGAATCGAAGTATTAATTGATTAATTACCTTAAGATTTTGAAATTACCAAAAATAAACATATATTTTTGTATGAGTTCAATATCATCCAAAACCTTTAAGCCTAATCCATTACTTATTTCAAAAAGAGAGTATAATAAATTAAATGATATCAATTACAATAACTACATTTGAGGTTCGTATTTTAAATTCTCATATTTAAATAATAATTTATTATAATTGATCAAGTTTTATTACTTATAAAATCTATTGAGTAATATGAATTAATTTAGTCAATTTTCTATCTAAAATTCATAAATAAATAAAATCAGGAAGATTACTGCTCTACTAATATTTTTGATTCCTTACATCATAAATGTCCCAAAAATTAATTATTGAACTCGAAAATATAACAATAAAATGATTTATGTATGTAAAAAGTTATAAATTAAAAAAGATTATAAACTATTTATTTATTATGAAATAATCATGATTACTATATAAACCATGATTTTTAATTAAAATTCAGAGATCCCATAGGATATGGTGTTTTATTATATTTCATTTTAGATAATCAACATCTCCACAACACATCATTATCAAAACTTAAGCTTCATGTGTTTTACTTTCTATCAGTTTTCTAATCTTATCAATCGGAATTTCCTCATCATACTTCATCTTGACTGCCTTTAAATTTAAATGAAATATAAACATCAAAAATTGATCTAGTAACATAATCTATCATGTTATTGACACTTAATTCACCCTTTGAATCTTTAAGCATCTCTTCCATCATAAAGCTACATCTGTTTTTTATCTCCTCATATGATAATAGGCCATTCTCATTTTCATCAATTAACTATTGAATAACTTGATATATTACTTTCAAAATTAGTTCAATTTTATTATCATTCCCTTTAGCTCTAATTAGATTAATTGCTTTTAAAAACCCCTCAAAACCCAATGAATTCTACTTAGCAAAAAATTTAAATATTTAATCTACAACTCCTGGAGGAGCCATAGACAATTCTTCTAAGCCAGCATTAAAAGCTTCTCTAGAGATACCATTTGGTATCACTAAACGTAATTGTTATATTTATTACTCTCTTTAGTTAATCCTGGAATTTGGGAACATTCATAACTAAGTAAAGCTTTATATCGACTAAATACTTCATAAATTTCTTATCTATCAAAACCTGTTTCTTTCATTAATTATGGTAAATTATAATGGGTCATATGCAATATATTTCTTGCTATATGGTCTGGTATGTTAGTATACTTATTTCTGTTAATATTAAATGATAATAATACTTATGTTTTTGTTTAATCGTTTATTATTTTAAGATTTCACCATATTGAGTTCTAAAATTAGGTAATTTTAAGTCTAAATCATTAAATATGGTTACATCTACTTGATGCTCTTCTATTAGAGGGATTTAATAATCCTTCCTTTTCTAAAATGAGTTAAAAATCATTAGGATTTGGATTGAGATTCAGAAGTGTAAAATCCTTTTTCATTTCTTTATCAAGTTCAACTTTAAGAGAATCATTGTCCATTTATTTTTAAGTGACTGGTTAATCTATTAATTATTGTTTTTCTTGATCATAAACATTTAAACTCTTATAGAAATCTTTCATTATAATAGTATTTCTTTTCATTGTAAGTAAATCTTCATTTAAATATATTTCTTTCAATTCCATATAAGTATAAAATACATCTTTATCTAAAATAAATTTAATTAAATCATTTAAATCATTAATTTTACTTATGATTGTAAGGATTTTTGTGTATTTTTAAGTTGTAAATTAAAAATTATGATAATTTAATATAATATTCCAAAAATCTTTATTAACAGTTTTGCTCAAAAGTAAAACATTACAATTAATAGGAATCTCTTCCATAAATTGTATTGCTTCATAATTTCCTAATGATAATTAAGTATAACTTTTTGGAACATTAAGATTCTGTTGTATCTTTTATAGTAAATTTTATCGAGCTTTATAAATAGAAGATGATTTTGCTTATAATTCTGCTCTTGTCATTTGAATAACTTTAAATTAACTAATTTCTTAAATTGATCCTTTGAAAATAAAAATAGAAGAAGTATTTGTATTGAGACTAATTTCAAATGAAGTTTATCCCAATTTATATTATTATTACTTTTTAATAAAGCATTTCTCTTTCATTCTTAAAGTCGGAATTCTAAAAGAATAAACAGATCTCTCTGATTATGAGATATTTATTATTTTTGATAACTTTTCTTTAGGAGGAGTATAAAATTAGGATAATTAATGTTGTATGTATTAAGAATAGTTGGGACTTTTCGATAACATTTTTGGACTAACACCATTACTTGACATTTATAAAGCAGTATTTTTCGAGATCCTTATATTTGAAGAAGCAGGTGACATAATAGAATTCAGTTTCAACTTATTAATGTTTTTTGTTGACATATTTGATTATTTATAATATCAATTTTATATAACTTAAAATTTTATTCAATATATTTCATTTTATTTTTATCATGTAATCTACTTAAAAAATAAGGTTTACATAAAATAATTTAAATGGTGAAAAATTATTGTTTTTCTTATATTGCTAAAACTCTCTACTAATATTAAGTAATTAAATTTAATAATAATTAAAATAATATAGTAAATCAAATAAAAAGGTAATTACTCTATGATCAATAAAATTATTTTTGATATAATCCAACTATTTTTTTTTATTATTTCCAACATAATTAGGTGATAAATTTGCAAAATTAAAATTTTATCATTTAACATTGCTAAGAAAATGACATAATTAAATTGAAAATAATTATAACTATTATGAATCAATCTATATATTAATATAGTTAATATAAGAAAAACAGATTTTATTAGATAATTATATTAAAATCTTTATAAAAAATTGAACTATTAAAAGAGTATCTATGACTATTAGGTGGAAACTTTATTTTTTGTTAAGAAAAAACTTAATATAACAAAAATATTATTAGAAGGTCTTAAATAAGAATTTAACCATTTACTTAATTTTTTTTTGTTTATATGAGTCTAAATAACTATTAGATAATGAATGTGTAAGTGTAATAGAAGACAATAAATAAAAACAATAAAAATATTGAGTATAAATAATATATTAAAAAAAGTATCCTTTATTTAAATTATATGTCTTCTTCTAGTTCATCAAGGTCACGGTCACCTAGAAAGAATAAGAAAAGAGTTTATGTGACAGGTTATTCTCTTAAAGAGGATTAACATGATATTAAAAAGTTATTCAAAAAATTTGGAAAAATTGAAGAATTTGCTTGGAAAGGAAAATATTGTTTTATTGTAGATATCATGAATTAATTATAGGAATTTAAAGATCCTGAAGATGCAGAGAAAGCTGTTAAAAAAATGAATAAGGAAGAAGTAAAAGGATCAGTGTTATAAGTTGAGATGGCTCGTGGAAATAAGCCTAGCAAAAATAATGGCTTATGTTATTCTTGCGGTCATTCAGGACATTTGTAAGTTTTATATACTCTTAAGAATTAATTTTAGAATACGATATATTTTATATCTATTCATTTACCTATTTTATTAGTGCTAAGAATTGCAGACGTAGATCATCATCTTCAAGTTCATCTAGCTCTAGTAGGTAAAGAATAGATAATAATAAATTTTAGTGAGTCTAGAAGAAAACACAAAAAGAAACATAAAAAAAAGAAGAGTTCATCCAGTTCAGATTCCTCATCAAGTAGTTCATCTAGAGATAAGAAAAAGAAATTGAATAAGAAGCGAAAGAGTTCGAAAAGGAAATCAAAGTCCTCATCAAGAGGCTCTTCAAAAGACTCACACAATTCAGAGTCTTCCGGCTCGTACTTTTAAAGTTGAATTCTGTTTAGCGTTGAAGGAGAAAAGTAAGAAAGTAACAACATCAAAGAAGATAAACAACCTAAAGATGAAGAGAATCAAGGGAAGGCAGGTGATGGTAAGTAATGAAGTACCAATGATAATAAAATATAAAATTAGTGTCCAACATATTTCTTATTTAAATTTTTGTAAACAAAAATAGTCTTATGTCATTTTTTTTACTAAAACCCTGAAAATATTTCTTTTTCATATGATTTTTGGTAATTTTATGCTGATTTATTTTAATTTTATTATTATTATTGTTAATATTATTATTGTTAATATTATTATTGTTATTATTATTATTATTATTATTATTATTATTATTGTGATTATTATTATTATTGTGATTATTATAATTATTTTGATTAATATAATTATTGTGATTATTATTGTGATTATTATTATTATTTTGATTATTATTCTACATCTTCTGAAAGTTAATAATTTTACTTATACAGAGTTGTATTACTATTAAAACCTCTTTCATTTTTATTACTAAAATATTCTAATATTATAAAATATCTTACATTATTTAGTTGAATTATTGGCTTGTATTCCAAGTTTTTAATTTTCATCTAATTATTGCTTTAGGCTATCAATTTCTTGTTATTATCTTTAAATTTAATGTTCTAATTCTATAATTTTTTGATTTTATTGTAATTTTTAATTTGGATTTTCAGTTTATTCTTAGATTAATTTTTATATATAGATTGAATTCTTTTCTAAACTTTGTAAATATTCTTCATATTATTGATTGTTTTAAGATTATAATTGTTTAATAATCTCATTTAATCTACTATTTGATTATTTTAATAATCCTATTTGATTTTAAAGTTCTTCTTACTTCAAATTTGATTTCATATTTTCTTAATATAATTAGAATCTTTCTATATCTGTCTATTCTTATAATTTTTATAAATGATCAAGATTTCCATTCATTTAATTAATAACATCTTTATAGTGTTAAACTTATTCAGTCAGTCTTTTAATTTCTATATCCTTTTTTTATAATTGACGTTCTAAATCTTTTGATCTTTAAAATTATTCATTAAATGTATTATATAGTATTGGGACTTCTTATTTAACTTCTGTTATATCAAATTTAAGTTTCAATTGATTAAGTTATTATCTTAAATCTTCATTCTCTTTTAAATTTTCCTCATTTTATTTTTATAATTAAGATATTTAATTGTTTAATAAATCCTTTTCAAATATGTGATTATTCATTTCTGTCAATAATTTTTCTTTTTCATTTAAAACTGTTGAAAAATTGATCACTTATTATTGCAAAGCGACTTTACTTTTTTTTGAATTCAAAGAAGCTTAAAAGAATTTCTTTTACATAATTGATAATTAAGCTGTTCTTAATTTAATTTAAACTTCTTATCCCATTTTTCCTTATCTCATCATTTCTAAACTATCCTTCCAGAATTATGGATAAGTCTTAATATTTTGTAATTAATGCTATTTGTCAGTAAAATAAATCTTATTTAAAACATTCTAAAAATGCTAAAGATCTGTATTAGAATTATCTTCCAAATGTTCCTTAATAAGATTTCTACATTCATCTAGCATCTCTTTTGGAGGCTAAAATATAATAAACTTAATACTCTTTAAATTTGCATAAGATTTATTACTTAATCTTTATGAAAATATGATATAAGAGGAAATTTAACCTTTTATAAAGAAAGTCTCTCTTAAGCAATTTTAAATAAACTTAACTTTCCTGCCACTGTATCAAGTGGAAACCATTTACTCCAAACCCAAATACTTTCAAGCAAATATCTAAAAAATATGCTTCCAGCATATTCCAATTCTTTAACTTATTCATACTTTTTTTTTTATGATGTATTTTAGATAAATAAATATTTACCCCTTTCATCATCTTAACTCTCCTTTTTAAATACTGCATATTCCTCCAAAATTGGTAAGATCCTTTTCTAAGTTTAATCAATCCAATCATATTCTTACAATTCTAATAGTTCATTAATAAACTAAATTAAAGAACAATTGTACTTTCAAACTATAAAATTTTGAAAGATGAGATCCTTATTAATCTTACAAAATGTTAATGACAACTGTGGAACACATTTAGATGATATCCCTGATTATAAATCAATTATTGTACTATTTTTATTGTTAAACAGCCTCAACATACTTCTTGATACCACCATATGTATTTTATGAACTTAAAATTTGCTTTAATGCTTGTTGATCCATAGTTTGCTAAATAATTATATATTTAAAATAACTTAATTAAATAAATTAGTATAAGTGAAAATCAAGAAGGAATAGCATATATTTGAATTACTCATCTGCTATATGTAATGAGCATCAATTATTGATTTTAAGAATAAATATATGCCTCTTTGAGTTTTAAAATTGATTATGATTTTTAATAATAGTTTGTTTCATAAATATATATATTTATAATGTATGAGTAAACTATATACAATTAACAATCATAATTTAGTAATTAGATCATCTTAATTGACTTATTCCTTTAAGGGGAATTGAATTCATTTTCAATACAGAATTTTGTTTTTATACTTGATTATCAAATTGATCAAAATCTAATTTTTTGGACACGCTTGACATTTCCTCATTTGTAAAAGTTCTTTAAAATTTACTATTATATGGTATGCTAGTTAGATATAGTTCTTTATTTAGTGATTTGATTTGGCGAGGTGTATAGGACATTAACTGCTCAATAAATTTATTAATAAAAAAAAATAATAATGTTATTTTATTGATTAATTTTAGAACTGACTATTTTGATATTAAAATATTAATAATAAAATGATAAAAGTATGATTGGATCTAAGAAAAGATTACATATAAACATTGAGTTATCTTCAAAAAATAGAAATATAAATAAAGTTATCATAAAATCAAATTTAAGGGTCTTTTATATTTTTTACTTCATTAACTACAGAGATAATATCAATAATTTTGATAGGCTTAGAAACAAATGCATCAAAACCTTTTTATTAACATTTCTCTTTCTCTTTGAGATCATCATATCCTGTAAGGGCAATTATGTAACTTTTTTCTATTAAATTATCCTTCTCCTAGAATCACATAAAAATAACATAAAATATGATACCATAATTCTAATCTATTCAGTAGCTTCATATCCATTCATTATAGGCATTGTTAAATCCATGAAAATATATTAATACTTCTTATCATTTTATCTATTCATCTTAATTTTTTAAAGGGCTTATTCTCCATTGTATGCTTCTTCAATAGTTATAAAATCATATTTCTGCATGATTAATCTAAATGCAAACACATTAACTGGTGAATCATCAACAACTAAAATTGTGCATGGTTCTGGAAAAAGTATTTTCATCATTTCCTCAATAGATTCAGTAAATTATAATGGTTTACGCTATCTAATATGCATAGCTGGAGATTCTGAACTTTCATTTTAATAACATGGAGTATTCATAGGACTGTTATTTATTTCAATTTATCTTTGATTTTTAAATATTTATGTAGCATAAGTAATATCATTATGAAACTCTAAATAGTATTCAATATTTCTTGTTTTGGAATTATCAGAGTCTTCTAAAATTAGAGATATATTGTTATTTGAATTTTCCCTTTAGATTAATGATTTTTTTTTTGGTTTTTTTGGATTTAAAGTTCTAAATTATTAGGCTTTATGTGATGCCTTTTTATCATTAATCTCTTATAAAGTTGATATAGATTTTTTATTAAGTTTTTTTGTTATTCCACCTAAATTATTGTTTATTGTTGTTTAATTGATAGTTTAATTAAATATAGTGAATTAAGAAGTTATGAGTAAATTAGTATTTTAATGATCACATAAACTTTATTTAGTATCTTATTTATAAATATTAGTCATTTCCTTTTGATATTATTTAGAAACACTATTTCTTTAATCAATATCGATATATACATCAAAACTAAAAGTTGATCCAATACCAACTTAACTTTTCAATTCAATTTTATCAGAAGGACCCAATAATCCTACCAATTTCTTACATATAACCAATCCTAATCCAATACCATGTTTATTTGACCCATTATTAGTAAAATCAAATGTTCCATACATTTAAAATAACTTTGGTTTAATATTATCTGGAATACCTACTCCTGTATCTGAAACACTTATTGTGATAATTTTAAATTAACTATCTAATTCTGTATTTTTATAATCAACTAATATATTTATTTTGCCTTTCTCTGTAAATTTTAGTGAATTACTTAATAAATTTAATAAAATCTATTTAATTCTATTCGGATCTGAATACATCATTCTATCTCCAAATGTTATTTTCTTTTCAACTAAAATCCCTTTTTAATTGGCTTATAAAGATATTAAATCAATTATCTCTTATACAATAACTTATATATAAAAAGTAGTGTTTGTTAATCTTAGAGTATTATTCTAAATTCTAGAAAAATCCAAAATATCACTAATCATAAATAACAATAATTAAGCCCATTTCTTTAATATTTTTAAATAATTAAGTTCATTTTAGTCAATAACAATCCTTAAATTAAATTTATAATGCTTACTATTCTAAAAATTAAACAATAGCAACTATTCCATTAATTGGTGTCTTGAAATCATGTGATACACTAGCCAATAATTCATCTTTATATTAATCTCTCTATTGTAATTCCTTAATCTAAATCTAATCTTATCTCTATTCTTAAGTTTAAAAAATGAGCATTGTAGCTGGTTATTATTCCCAAATTATTTCTGCAACTTCTATATCAACAGGAAAGTAATTTTTAACATTGCAATAGAATTCAATTTGACTATCATTCTAAAGGACGTTGCAATTGCTCAATCTCTTTCTTCCTTAATACATATAAGATTTATTGCTATTTGTTCTTCTATTTGATAAATAATTAGTTATGCTATCTTTATCCTTTTCTGAAGATACAAGTCTTATAATTTAAGGTGTGATTTCTATATATTCAGTTATAAACTAATCTGTTTTAAATAAAAATTCTAGGTAATAGTTAAATTGAATACAATTATTTTGAATTATACAGAGTGGAAGAGGGAGACTTGCTTTAAAAAAGTCAAAAATTTATTGTGTCTAGTGATTCTTAGATTTTCCATCACTTATTTTTTAATAAAGACCTTTTGCATTATTTAAAACTTTACATTATAACAAAATCATTAAATATCCAAATATAGTCAAATACGACAATGGTTATAAGTATAAAAGGGACCTGAATAGTAAATAAAAGAGGCAACTTAAAAAATATATAGATTTTTGTTTTTCCATTAATACATTGGCACTAAGAATAAATCGCATACTCATGTAATAACATTTAATCTAAATTAATATAAAATTTACATTATCATCAGCAATTAGTAATTCATTTGACATACAAATACTACCTATTAATAAAACCAACTTTAAGTTTTATCCATATTGTCCCAAAAGTAAGAATATATCAAACAGTAAAAAGTAACTTTACTAAGTTTAGGTAACACCATTATATATCGACAGAATGGTTGATTATATAATCAATGTCATAATAATTATTGACATTTTAATTTGTATTAAAATTATATTGATATTCTAAGTTTTCTTTTAATTATTTTATCATTAAAATGGATCAATATCTATAAGTAAAGTAAAATAGAATAGTAATTATAATAAGAAAACAATTATAAATAGAATCTATATATATTTATAGATTTATAATCAAAAATAATATTTATTTAGTATTTTTTTGAGTCGACTAGTTTCAATTGGTTTTGGTAGAATATCTTTCATACCACTCTTATAAGCAATATCTATATTATCTTTACTATCAAATGCACTACACATAATAATAGTAGAACTCATTCCATTCTATTCTAAAAATTCTTAAATTTCTTTAGTTGTCTAATATCCATCAATTCCAGGCATATCAATATCCATGAAAATTAATTTATAAGCACAATGACAATTCTTATATTTATTTTTAACCATTTCAATAGCCATTTATCCATCATAAGCACTATCACTTTTGATATTGAAGTATTTTAATACTGTAATAAATGCTAAATGATTAAATGGAATATCATCAACAATTAATACATTTAGACAATTACATTTATTTTTAACTTTACTTTTGTATGGTTCTTAAATACATTCATCAGTTGGTATTATTAATGCTTCATCATAAGATTATAAATCTTTTACAATAAATCTATTATTTGTAAATTGATTCAATTAACTTGTTATACTTAATTCTCCTTTATCACAAAGTTATCTAGCAATTTGACTTGATACTTTTAAACCTAAACCTACATATAAAATATAATCCTCTTCACCCCTTCTAGCAATATCAACTTCTTAATTTTATAGAATTTTATTTATTAAAAATAATTTCTCAGCTGAAATTCCACATCCTGTATCAAAGACTTCGAATTGATACAATGATCCCACTCTTTTAACATTTAATTAAATAATCCCTTCTTGTTTTGTATATTTAACTGAGTTGTTCAATAAATTAACTAAAATTTATAAAATTCTATCGAAATCATTTCTAATATAAGCATCTTCACAAGATTAAATAACGAAATCAATTTTCTTTTATTAACATTCTGCTTTAAAATAATCTTCTATTGTTTATATTAAATTTGACAATTTGAAAATTGTAGGTCTTAATTTAAATGTTTATACTTCAAAATTAGCATAATCTAATATATCATTAATTTGATGTAATAATTTTTTATTAGAGATTATTGCAGGTCTTAAATATGTATCATTTAATTCTGGTTTAATTTATTATTCTAATGTTTATAAAAGTGATAGAGAACAATTTAGAGGTGTACGCAATTCATGTGAAAAGGAATTGATAAGCATTTATTGAAAATGATATCTTTCTTTCATATCAATTTAATCCTCTTTTTTTGTTATGTTTTTTATCATGATCAATAATCCTTTTGATATTTCATATATTTTAATCTCATATGTTTTCATATTAATTTAATCTCTATATTTAAGGGAGTTAAGATTGATACTTCCTGAAATGCCTTTAGATTTGTATTTATTGATTATTTATACAATATCAATAAGATTATTATATTGTCTACAAGAAGTAAATGAAATTGCTTTTTTTCTACTTTAACTAAAAGATTGCATTCTTCTTAATTAAAAATCTGATCCATAATCTTCAGAAGAATTAAATAAAGATCTCCTTTCTATTCTTAAAGCACTTGGAATCTATTATTGTTGAATCCAAGCTCTAAGAATAATATTATAAGATACTTTACCTTTGGATCATTAAAAAAAGTTGTTATTATAAATTATCTTCTTTGATATTTGAACAATATTTTTTAGTTTTATGATTAGAATTCACTATATTATAATTGCTATCTAATAAACATATTCCTAAAGGTATATAATTGAAGAAATCAATAACATCATTAGAATCATTTTAAGATGGAATATCAAATTAAGTGAGTTTCCTTTGAGATTAAGAATTTATTTTACTGTCTGTTTACTTTATATCCTAAAAATAAAACAGTTATTACATGCATATAAAAGTATGTGTTAAAACTTACAAAAAGGATTCCTAAATAAATCCAATCAATAATCTTGAAGGTATTAAAAAAAAATAAACTTACTCTCAAAATATAATAAGACAAGATAATGATCTTGTATTTAATTTTATATTTGATTGATGCAACAATGGCAGGTCCAAAAGGTTAATCATTAAAGCATAATTCTAAAAGCAAAATTATTCTGAAATATTTCCAAATTGGTGTATATTTCTTATTCAATATCAATAATATTGTAAATATATTCACCGAGGATATTACTATCAAATAAATGTCATTAGAGAAACTTGCAGTAATGAGAAGTTTAAGAGCAAATGAAAAGTGTATTCCTCTTTTACATTTATAAAAAATCATATTATTTAAATAATTCATAGCCCTTCTTAAATTCCTTTGAAGTAAAACTAATTCAATTATAATAAACTAATTTCCTTAAATCATCAATATGTATACAACATAAAAATAATACTAAATAAATTAACTATCAATTATGTAAAAACGAATGATAAAAACCTTTGAATATATTAAATAATTAATTTAAATTTACTTAACATAGTAAAATCATCAATTATTTGTTCACATTCAAGAAATAATATAATTAATAATTCAAAATAAATTCTTTATATATAAAATTTATTTGGTTTTTAATAAAATTATCAAAACTTTGATAGCTATAAATATCAACATATACAATAATAATAATAATTTTATATTATGAAAATTCTATATATTATAAATTAGTAATATTATTCGAGATAATATTTGTATACTTTATATAATATAAAATTTTATCATGCCATTTATAGGTCTTAATATTATTTTTTTTTATTCTCTTAATTTTTCAATTTTTATTACACTTATTACATTATAGTTCTCCATTTGGTACACATTTTATATCCACAAATCAATAACAATATAAAAATTACAAACACAACAATAAGGAATATCTCTGCATACCATTATGATTATGAATCTAACAATACTTCATTCACTACTAAATTAATAAAATGTTCTTCATGACAAACTATAAAAGGATCTGTTTCAGCCTTTTCACATTATGTTGAATTTATTAATATAGCATATGATTACTCAATTTATTTTTAAGATGAACAAACTATCTCTGGATTTCTATCTTTAATAATTAATCCATATAAATGACGAGGAGTCAATGCTAATGAATAATGATATTAATAATTAGCTTTTTCATAATCTGTACCTTCTATTTCTTCGATTTTCTATAATAAAGGTATCATGAAATCAGTATCATAATCAAAATCTTCATCAACAAATCCTCTATAAACATTAGTTTATATTATTTTATGTACATCATAACCAATTAAAAATTAAAAGTTACCACAACTTTAAACATCTTTTAATTGCATATCTTCTAAATAAAATTTATTATAATAAAATTCTTGATTTTTAAAATGAAATAAGATTTCTATTCCAAAAATAATCTTATCTTAAGTTTATGCAGTTTAAGCAACTACTAAAAATGAGTTTTTATTATATACAAATGATATTGGATTTTCTAAAGGAATCATGAATTCTAAATAAATATTATTATTAATTACCACTATCTTTATAACCACTTTCACTTAATGTGTAAAAATGTATTCCTTTTTTATCATCTAATAAAAATAAAAGATCATCTTTTGTTTATACTTTAATAATGTTTAAATTTATTTTTATTGTATAAATATGATTTAATAATTTTTCTTTTATTTCATAAACTAATACTCCTTATGTTCCAGCAACTATAAACATTCTTTTATATATCTCATCATAATGAACATAATATATATTACTCACTTCTTCCAAATTATGAAAATGTACTTATGGCAATGTTCCATTTTACCATTCCTTAAAATAAAAACTTATTGTTCCTTTTTCTGTAACAACAAATATTTAATCATTTGATAATAAAAATTGAGGTTTCTTTTTCAGATTGATACCAATTTAATTTGAAAAATCTAAATGTTAAGATGAAACACTCATTTTCTTAAAATATCATTATAATACTTTACCTTTAATTCATTTCCATTAAAATCTAATTAAATAGTAAATATTTTATGATCATTTCTAATAACAAATGCTTATCTTTCAACAACTATCATATCAGTAAAACTATATTTGCCATCATCAGGTAATTATATTTACAATTGATCTTCTACTTTTATTTTTCTTTCAAAATAAGAACATCCTTATTAATATAATTAAATATCATTGATTTTTTAGTATTTTGTAATATCTTTATCATCTGTTAATCCTTCCTAATAATATAATTCCAAATCAAAAGCATTGGGATACTTTAAATGTTTGAAATCTTCAGTACTAATTGATATAGCTTATTCAGTTTTGTTAAACTTGTCTATTTTTATTTATGGTGTTCTTGTCCAACCACAAAAAGTTATTCCTAGTAATACAGCCAAAATTATTTTTGATAACATTTTATTAATATATATCACACAAACTATTCAATATTTTAATTCATTAAGACTTCAATTCAAATTGCTACTAATTTCCTTATTAAATATTGAACTTCCTTTATATAGAATAGCAGTAATTATATAAATCTTCTAGTCTACTTAGATTTTAGACAATTATATTTGTAATATAACGTAGAAAATAATCAAAATTTGACAGTCTCATTAATAACTTCTTTCAGTTTTTATTCTAATTAAGTCTTTGGAATTTTTAAAAGGATGCTATGTTACTATTCCACTAGTCCCTGAAAATTTACGTAAAGGTTAAGTTATAGTTAATGGTTTGACTATTAAAGCTTTTTTCATATCCAAATGGACAGATTTAGAGATAGGATCAAGTCTATTTGATATCACTTTGTTCTGATTTATTAATGCTTCTAGTTCATCCATCTATTTATTAAGACGTTCATTATCTGCTTTTAATTTCTATGATTCTTTTAAGCATTAGTTCATTTATTATTTTAAATGATTTTCTTTTTCAATCTGCTACTCCAATTAA